TCATTAGAAACTATGTAAAAACTAAGTTGAATGGACACAATACTTGCCAGAAATGTCGGCAGCGGCCGCCCGGTGGTGGGATGGACGGTCTCTCTACGGTGTGAACACTTGTGTTAGTTCTGCTGAGGACCAGGGAGAAGCCTCGGCCTCCAGCCTCATCTGTCCCCACCCTGCCTGCCCTGCAGTCGGACTGAACCTCCTTCTTCTCCCCGGTCTGAAGGGCCCTAAGGTTGCTCACTTCCAGGCTTGGCTCCGCCACCCTCGGTCAGAAGCACTCCTCCGTGCTTCTGGTCTACCTGCACTGCTTGGCACGGCCGTGTTGTGCCGTCTCCATGGTGAGCGGCAGCAGGGCCAGGACCAGGTGTGTCCTTTCCACCATTTATCCGTAGAATGTAGCACAGTGCTTGACACACAGCAGTCCCCCCAAATATACTTGTGGAATGAATGAATGATTGAATCTATGAATAAATGAATACTGAATTGGAAAGGAAAACTATCCCCTTAACATTAAATACAGCTCTTGGTAATGTGAGTCTTTTAAAAAAATATATGTTTCTATTGATGGTTTTAGAGGGAGAGGAATGGAGAGGGAGATACAGAAACCTTGATGAGAGAACCATCCACGCCCACCACTGGGGAGAAGCCTGAAACCCAGGGGGGTCGCGGGCCTGGCCCTCTGCTGCCTCCCTCTGGGCAGCGTCAGCTCCGCCTGTGCCGCTGCGTGAGCCTGACGGGAGCCCTGCAGCGGGCACTGTGGCCGTGACCCCAGGAGACAGCTCCCGTGTGGAGAGCCTTGTGCCCTGGCCGCGGCAGCTGCTGGGAGCAGCCCACTTCCTGGTATTTGAATAAACACAAGCTACCCGAAAACCACACCCGCAGGCACAAACCGAGCCCCCCAGGAACTCGCACAGCCCTGCACCTCCTCGATGTTCGCGGAGAGAAGTCCCAGTTCCAGGAGCGGGACGATGATGGGGTACAGGGTGCTGGTGTGCTCCGTATGTCAGGACGTCCAGCCTCCTCCTGCAAGGGGACGACCTTGGCTGTGGATTGCCCGGGACACAGGTGTGCAGCGCACTGGGAAGCGCTCGACACCCCAGCGCCAGGCGCCTCGCGGCAGTGTGGGGAGCCGGCCGGGCAGGCTGGTGCCGGCTTCCTGTGGCACCGTCTCTCACATGTCCGGAAGACGGGCGAACAGCAGCCCGCACCCCCCACACCCGGGCACACGCGTGCAAGGCTCTCGTGCCCTCCCCCTTCGTGCCTGGCGTCGGGCCGTCAGCACCCCGTGTGTCCTTTCGTGGCCTACTGGAAGGCCGGGACCGGGTACGAGATAACTGCGGCCCTCCAGGCAGGGCTGTGCCTCATCCTTCCCTTTCAAAGGCCGCCCCTGAGGCTTGTGTGGCCAGGTCGGAAGAATGACGGAAAATGTGCCCCAGGCCATGCAGCGGCGGAGGGAGGCGCGGCCCGGCCACCCCTTCGTTAGATGTTAGTCTGGGCCTGGTTCTCGGCTTCCTGCAGACCTTCCTGCAGACCTTGCAGGTGCACAGCCCACATCAGGACGGGGAGGGCCCGTGCCTTTCCTGCTCAACAAAACCGGTGCTCATTCCGAACCATTGCCGGGGCCCGCGTCAGGCCTGTGAGCTGTTTGTTGCTGTTTTAACCCAGTGGAAGGGATCAGGGCGATAAATGGCTGACTTCGAGATGGTTGTGTGTTACATGTTGAGAAGAATATGTGGAACAGCAATGCTGATTTTACATAAAACACAAGAGCAAATAGTCTGTGTGCACACACTCTGGGTAACTACACTATTCCAAAACCACGAAATGGAATGTTACATCCAGTCTTTAGAAGGAAGGAAGCTGCTGCGACGTGAATTCTGAGGACACTGTGCTCGGGGAAGTCAGCCAGTCCCAGAACGACAAAGACTGATTCCACCTGAGGCCCCCAGAGCCCTCAGAGTCAGAGGCAGGAAGTGGGGTGGACGTTACCAGGGCGGCAGGAGGAGGACAGGGAGCTGGTGTTTAATGGGGACGGAGCTTCGGTTTGGGGGTGATGAAGGAGTTCTGGAGAAGATGGGGGTGATGGCTGCACAATGTGAACATGCTTAAGGACGAAAACGGGACATTTATGTGGATTTTACAATTTTAGAAATTCATAAACATGGCAAGCACACTAACCTACACAGAAAATGCATTTAAATATAGTCATATTAGTAATATTGTAACCTTTTTCTTGGACACAAAACTGAATTTCTGACTAAGTTTACTCCTATAAAGAAAGTGCATGCATTCTTGTAAATTAACTGAGAGCAAAGAAACCCAATGCCCTCAGCAGGCAAACCGCAGCCGAGAGCACCCTGACCCCGAGAAAGCCAACGCTGTGTTCCGACTGCATTCACGCACCAGCCGAAGTCACTCGGTGGCTGTGAGGCAGCCATGCACTGAGAAGCATCAGAAACGAGTTTGGGGCTTTCCTGTCACGTGCCACCCGCTGCTGAGGCACGAACAGGGGGCGACAAGGCGGGCAGCGCCCACAGACGCAGTCGGGGTGCGGCTCTGGTCATGCCCACCTTGGACATCTGCCTCCCAGCTTTGTCGAACACCAGTGGAACCTGAAAGGTGAAAACTAGCATTTCAAGTGCAACGAATGGAAAACGTCCTCCAGAGAAAGACGGTCGTGCTGGTTGGTGAAGGACTGTGGCAACCAGGGCACGAGAGGAAAGCAGAGGGATTCTTAGAGCCCAGACTGAACTGCCGGCGGGAAGGGGCCTCCTCCGCACTCCGGCCACTGAGAGGGCTCAGACGGCTCCCCGCCCAGCTGCGGACCGCAGCCCTGGAGGCAGTGGCCGTAGGCCCCCGGGGCTCCTTCCCAGCAACTGCAGCAGCGAGATGGGAGTGAGACGTGGGGGCTCACACAGCCACGGGGCGCTGCAGCAGAGTTCCTGAGCGGCATGTACCCTGAGACCCAAGAACCTGGAAGGGCAGCATTTGGTGTCCAAGGCTGGCCCCACTCACTACCCTGCCCTGATTTTCCTTGCTTGAAACAGAGGGTTAACACCTGGAGGCCCTCAGATGCCACTCAGCTCTCTCTCATCTATGGACGGCACCCTCTGGTTGACAGGATGTGACCTGCCCAGGACCACAGTTGGGTAGTTGGAGCCAGAGACCCAGGTTTCCTGGCACCTCGTGATAGCATTTTACTCAAGTCGCCCTTGGCCCGTTGGGTTGTGTGGCTTTCTAACCCCTTCCCGCCTCGTGCCTTGTTTAACGGAGTCACCCCACTCTGGGCTGCAGCCCGAGCTGTAGCTGTTTCCCTGCCTGCGAGCGAAAACAGCCGCTTCATTACCCCGAGCTTCGCTCCGAACAGGGGCTTAGAGCTTTCCACGGTGCTCCAGCCGTTCAGCTTTTCTGAGAAGGAGAAGGGCCTCTGGTCCATATGGTCTAGGTCCTTGTAACTTCCATTTCTACAGTACGCTTGACACAGCTGCCAAGGACAAGTGGGGTGTCCGTTAGCACCGCATCACTGCTAACACAGCCGCGGCCCGTGGCCCCGAGGCAGGCCTTCTCACTGGCCGCTCGGACAGGCAGTGAGCCCGCCTCTTCCTGTCCAGTCAGGCGTGTGAGCCTACGCGCCCCCACTTTTTACCTAATATGCAAATGAACCACCCAATACCAATGACATAGAAATGTGAAGGAAAGTTAAGGTGTCTGCTTCATGATTTTCTGCTTGAGGAGTACACCCTGGGCTGGTCTCCGGCTCTTGCTTCTCCGGTGGCTGGTGAGGCAGCAGGCAGGGAACATGGCCCTGGGGACGAGTGTTCTGCTTGGTGTGACTCAGATGTCAAGAAAATCACCCAACCACCTGTGCCTCAGTTTCTTCAATTTGCATACGGATGACTCATGCACCCCAGCCCTGCCATCACCCACGCACGGTGGGAACTGACCAGCCCCGATGGCAGGAACAGTCAGAACAGTCAGGGGCTGCCGGCTGTTGGCACACCCTCCTCTAAGGGCCAGCACAGGGCCTGGAATGAAGGAAGAACATGGCCACGTGTTAGGAGATTCTTCCGCAGAATTTCTAAGACCTGCTGTGAACAGGTTCTAAGGGGTAAGTTAACACATAAAAGGAGAGGTTTTTAGCCCAGCCGGTGTGGCTCAGTGGTTGAGCATCCACCCGTCCACCAAGAGGTCACCAGTTCAATTCCCCGTCAGGGCACATGCCCAGGTTGTGGGCCTGATCCCCCGTGGGGGGTGTGCAGGATGCGGCCAGTCGATGTTCTCTCTCATGGATGTTTCTTTCTCTCCTTCTCCATTCCTCTCTCTCCAAAAACCAAATAAAAAAAAAATAAGCAAAAAAGGTGAGGTTTTTAAAAAGGTGGTATTCTCCTGCCCTGGCCAGTTGCTCAGTGGTTAGAGCCTCTGCCCGAGGACCAGAGTTACGGGTTCGATTCCCAGTCACGGGTACACACCTCGGTGGCAGTTCATCCCCAGCCCCGGGCGGGTCGTGAGGGAGGCAACCAGTCGATGTGTCTCTCTCACGTTGATGTTTGTTTCTCTCTCCCCCTCCCACTCTATCTGAAGACAAATGGAAAAATATCTTCGGGTGAGGATTTAAAAAAATAAAAGTGAATAAAAGGCTGTGTTCTCTGAGAACGTCCAGGTTAGAAATGCATGGGCAGCAGCCCTATTTTAAGAGCACTGGCTATGGGGAAACATGTCCGCGGTCACCCGAAACCTCCACCGTTACCTCCTCAGGGAAACATTAAGCTGAGGGCAACGTATGTCGAGGAGCCACCTAAGAATGTGCAGGAGATAAATTCAGACGTGGATCATTTAATATTTGGTCAAGTAAAAACAAAAACTTTAAATCCTCTACCGGCACTCGGAGGAGCGGCCAGGTACACAAAGTACGTTCTGGAACTCCTTAGGCTAGGTATCGGGACAGTGGGAACCACCACTTTATCAAGACAATTTTTATTTAAAAAAAAAATACAGAAACAACAAACAATTAAAAGAGTTTTAATAAAATCAACAGGTTTACATTTGTACATCTTGTGTGTCTGGGACCCAACCAGGGGCAAAGGGCAGAGTGGCAAGGACAACGGCTTCCAGAGCAGCAAGAACACAGGGCTCTGGGCTGTGACAGGCGCCAGCTGCCGCGTGACGAGGCCACGCCCTTCGCACGGCTGCCCGGAGCTCAGGCCCCGCTCCACAGCCGACATGCTCCACAGCCGACACGGCGTTCCCATGTGAATACTTGACGGGCAACAGCAGATCAACAGTTCGTAACGTTAAATAGTCTTGCCCACAGAGCATCAATGACAACGGAGTTCGGTTCATGAGGCTCTAACTAGACCGGTTACACGGAGCCTACGGAGGGGGCGGGGCTGAGTGACAGTGCTAACCCGTCCACAGCAGTCACAGCACAGCAGGCCTGACGAAGAACCATGTGTTTCTTTTCAAAACGTGGTTTGAGAAAAGAGCCTTGTGGGAGTTTGAGAAAGGACGGGTTGTGAACACAGGAGGTAATTCTGCAGTGTCAGGATTCTGCCTGTCTTAGAGGATTCAGGAGAGATGGAAAACTGATCAACTGTAATCCCATTATTCTAAAGGAAAACAAACGTTTTGAGACATGGGTCAATGTGCAGAGAAGGAAGAGCCGAGGCCCAGCTAGGAGCGAGCCGGCACAAGGCCTCCCAGGCTCGCCCAGAGCAGAGCCAGCGCTCCTCAAAGTGCACGACGCTGCACCCAGCCCCTCGCCCTCCGGGCAGCGGGTCCTGCGCACAGGCTGCGCCGAGCCGTGCGCTCACCCACGGGCTGGAACACGCTGGGGCTCGCGTCTGTGCCGTGCACACAGCACCTGGCTGACTGCAGAGAGCCTGTCCCCATCACTCGTTCTTCAGGTCACTGAGACACGGTGAGGAAAGAACGCGCGGATGACGCCTTGCCCTTCTGGCCAGCGCGAGGACAGGAAGCTCTGTCTGAGGACGAGAGGGAGCTCTCCCTGTGTGAGGCTGAGGCAGAGGGCAGGCTCCAGGGCCTCTCCTCACACACAGAAGCGGATGCTGGTTTCCAAGCGTCACGCAGGGGTCCAAGGAGTACACTGCACAGACTCGATCGTCAAAGGGAGGAGCCTGGAGAGGGCAGTGCAGCCAGCTTCAGCCTCTGCAGGGCGGCGGCAGGAGCCTGCAGTCTGAGGGGCGCGCCTCCCCGCCTGCAGGCGTGCGCAGTGCTGGGGGAGGCAGCCTGGCCGGGCTTCCTGGGGCGTGTGGCGCTGCCGCGGGAAAGGTGGCGCCTCCCTGTGCACGGGCAGCTGTCACCCGAGGCCTGCCCTGCTGAGCTTGAGGGCAAAGCCGGCCTCTGCTGAACACACGTTCGGTGTGTGCTCCTGACGTTTCCCTTTTAGTTTCCCGAGTATTCAACAGGAGGTTCACTGTGACAAAACAAAACACCCTAACAAACATGACAGATACTTTCTGCAACGATGATACAACTTCAAAAAAAGTTTTAGTCAAGCACATTCTCCGTGGAGTTCAGACCAGCAGACAAAGACAGTAGGGCACACCCTGGGCCACCCCCATGGGCTCCCGTCACCGCTGTGGTCTTCGAGGACAGGCAGCTTCTCTCGCGCTCCGCCGGCTCCACGTGGGTCTTCACTGCCAGGCAGCCAGAGCGTCTGACTTTGCGAAAGGGGGTGCTCGGTGCACAGAGGAGCAACTTCCAGGGCTGACGCCAGACAGGAAGCAGGAAGGAACGGAGACACTGCACTAAGGTCAGCCAATGCCAAGGGCAAAAGCAGAGCCCATGAGGCCGTCCAGGACACAGACGGGACCTGGTGGCTGCGCCGTGGATGGAGCACGCACCCACACGGGAGGAGTACGATGGTGAACTTCCCGCACAGGACTCTGCCCTGCCACTCACCTGGCCAGAGAGGTCCCCTGCGTGCCACCCTGAAGGTCGGGCGGGGCTCAGGGACCCGGTGAGTGTGGCGTGCACCGGGAAGGCTCTTTTCTTTCCGAGAGGACACCTGTTTTGGGTGACCACGTGTCTGGACAGGCGAACTCCCGCATGTCTCTCTTTTTGGGTTTTCCATTTACATTCAATGCAGACTGGTCAGCAGGGACGAGTCCTCGTTTCACACTGACTGATGCCTCCGGCACCCAGATGTCACCTGTCTCTGCTGACATCCTCCAAGGCTTTCTGCCCCTCACGTCAGCAGGCCTGGTGTGTCAAGAACTCGCGGTGCCCTGGTGCCCGGGACAGCCCCTCAAGTCCGCGCGCCCGGGCTGGAGGAGCTGCTGTCCGCGCGTCTGCTGGCAGCGCAGTGGGTGTGCACAAGGCCGCCGTCCGGGCACCTCACAAACGCAGGCTCGCAGAAGGGGCTGTGGCACCTCTGGCACAACCTTGTGTCTGAGAGCCGAATCGCGCTTCCTTTCAACTTCATCTGCGAAAATAAACAGACAGTCTCACGTGCCGTTAACCGCTTCCCAGAGCTGACACACATTACCCCATCGATCATTATTACCGATGACTTTACTTTCACATCAACTCCTGAAACAGAATATTAGAAGTGAAAATAAGCAAAAACATCCCCATAAGTGGCGGGGTAGAAAGAGCCTCGAAACTGCTGTCTCATTTTTCAGGTCACTGCTGCTTGTCTGGCTGAGGCGGTCGCCAAGATGCCACCAGACGCTGTGAGCTGGCGTGTCTCAGCGGGGCCCCCACACCGCTGTGTGCGCTGGAGCTGAACAGGCTACACAGACCTCTGCCCCATGCCTCTCACTGGTAAACTAGCAAAGCGAGGCACAGACGGGAACCTGGCTGAAGCCACAGGCTGATTAGCGCACACTCCTCACTGATGAGGACACATTTCATTTCGGTGAGGAAACTAGCGAGCCAGAGCTGAGACTCCACTGCTCCAGTCTGACACGCGGGCGGGCCTGGAGCTCTGCAGGGGGAAGAGTCGTCTGCACAGCTCCCTGTGGCAGACAAGCCAGCCTGCAGGAGGGCCGAGCAATAACTCCGTGAATGCACCCTGGACACTGCAGGTCCCTCAGTCATCTTATTCAACCTTCAAGACACCAGGCTTGGCTCTGGGGATACTGAGAGACCCCAGCGAAGCTTCCTGCTCGCACACAACCCGAAGCCTGACGGCAAAGGGAGACAGTGCCGAGGGCACGTGCTCAGACGCAGTCTGCCTGCTGCAGGCTGCAGACCTCAGAGGAAGAACATGGCTGGGTTCCAGCCAGCGCTCACGGGCACCAGGGGAAAGGCAGGCTCCCTGCGGCAGGGAGAGTGGCAGGCACAAAGGCCGCGTGTGTGTACAGCACATCCTACTGGGCAGTGCCACACGGCCCAGCGAGCAGTGCCAGACAGACAGGGATGGCCAGAGACTGAATCTCCCAGGGGTCGACTTCTCCACTGGGGCATCAACAGAGACTTCCAAGTGGGGGACAGGCCGGACTCCTGCTCTGGAAAGACCACCCTGAAGTGCGGAGCACAGACCTCACGAGAGAGGGGTTCCAGAGGGAGGTAAGTTTGGGGACTGTTACACACTGAATGTTTGTGTGCCACCCCACCCAGTTCATATGTTGGAGCCCTAATTCCTAACATGATGGTATTTGGAGGTGGGGGTCTTGGCAGGTGCTTAAGGTCAGATGAGGTCATTAGGCAGGGCTCCCAAGATGAGAGTAGGCCATTATAGGGAGACCAGAGCTTGCTCTGTGCTGTGTGGGCACAGTGAGAAGGGGCCGTCTACACGCCAGGAAGAATCTGCACCAGGCACGAGTCTGCTGGCAACTCGATCTTACAGTCCCAGCCTCCAGAGCTGGGAGGAAAAGTCTGTCGTCGATCCCTGAGCCTGTGCCTTTGTCAGAGCAGCCGAGCTGAGTGACAGGGACCAAGAATGTGGGTGCTGAGTGGAACACACACCTGGCCCTCCACGTGCTGTGACGCTCTGGGCTCAGCTCCCCGTCTGTGAAAGGGAGAAATACACAGACACTGCGTACAAAGCTGCAATGATGAAGTGATATGATGCAAAGAGCAGAAAAGTGCCTGACACGATGCATACACGCTTTCTTGATCATCAGCATCGAAAGGGGAGAACACCCCTGCCCGCTGCCTCTGCGCAGACCCCGGCTCCTGTGAGTGGGGCCACGCACTCCGAGTGCCGGTGCTGCAGGGAGGACACTGACAACGGGCACCTTCCCCGGGGAAAGGCAGTAAGGAAACGCCGCCTGGTCGAGAAGACAGCCAGGCTCTCACCTTGTCGTACTGGTAGATCAGGTTTTCAGACTTGGCCAGGCCGAGCGCCACCTGAGCGGTCCTCCTGCTGTGGATGCTGTCCCTCATGGCCCCCGTCAGGAACGGGCAGAGCAGCTGCACTGACCAGGTGCCCGGCAGCAGCTGCAGAACCTGGGCGGCGTCAAACTCGGCGGCGTGGTGGTTCAGGAGGTCCACTGCGGCCACGGCCAGCTCGGGGGTGGAGGGGCTGGGGGCGGAGGGGCTGGGGCCGAGGTACAGGGCCAGCAGCGTGTGGAAGAGCCGCTGCCGGTAGGCGGGGCCCCGGCCCTCGGAGCGCCACAGGCAGTAGTCCTCGGCCGCCGGGAAGTCCCTCAGCTCGTGCACCAGGGTGTGCAGGGCCTTCTCGTGCTCCTCCAGCTTCCCGTGCAGGATGGCCCTCTCCATGGGCAGCCCGGCGCCCTGCACTCTCTCTGCGGGGCAGAACCACTGTGAGGGCACGAGGGCCTGAGCCTCCCGGTGTCAACCCCGCACCGCGGCCCTCCCCGTGCTCTCCGCTGGGGTGAGGCGAGCCGTCTGGCCACCCAGACACTCCCAACAGGGCACCAGACCACTCAGGGAGGCCCCCTTGCGTGTCCGCGCATTGAGCTGGGTGTCACTAACGCTGAGTGCAGACACGGCCTCCCAGGACAGCCAGGCCTCAGAATGGAGCTTGTGAACAGTGTCGTGAGAACGAGTGAAACGCATGACCCATGTCTCGGAAGGTCCCAGAGAAGCCCTGAGCGTCACAGCGTCGGGCCCCAATTAATCCACACATCCCATCATCCCAGTGAGCGTCCACGACTAAAGCACATAACTCCACCCCACCCCATAAATCTGCTGAACCTCTGTATTCCGATTTAAAATATACTCCACGGGAAGGAATAGGGGTTCATGTTAAAATCCATTCCTACATCAGTCTAAAGACCTTTGTCTCGCGAGGTAAAGGTCCAGGTTCTGGGTAAAATGGAACCAGCAGAGGAGCACCAGGCCCTCCAAGGCCCCGCCTCAGCGCCAGCGCCTTTGCTTCCCCGCCCCTGCAACCAGGACACTGCTGTGACTGCCCCCCACGGGGAGGCTGCTCTGAGGACAGCTGTCTACGGCCCCGGTCTATCCAACTGCAGGCATCCTGCACGTGAAGCCCAGGCACCTTCAGCCAGTGCACGAGGTGACACACCATCCTGGAGCTGCAGACACCGGCCCACCCTACAGACGGCTGTCAGCAAACAGTGACAAAGTGGATGCCACGTGACAGGAACAGGCAGAGGCACAAAGGCGGCTGAGAAAGATCCTGTAGTGACCAACACTTACTGTCCGTCATCTCATCCTGTTTGAGTCTTGCCTCGAGGGGAGGTTGGCAGGAACTGCTATGGCAGCGTGCCCAGGGACACCCCAGGTCACTGACTACCAGGGACAGAGGGAGTCTCAGAGTTGCAGTACTATGCCATAGTATCTTGGGGACCTATTGCCTGCAAGCTCCCAGACGTCTCCCAACGACTGCAAAACAGGATCTCCTCTGGGAGGCTCTCCCTGCCCATCCCCCACGGCACGGCCTCGGCTCCCAGGCCGGGGAGTTCCAGGCTCATCTGCCCCTTGGTCACAGTGAGGACAAGAATACAGCCACATCTCTTTGCATCCTCTGTGCACGTCTGACTACACAGGCTCCAGAAAGGTGGCTGATAAAAACATTCACCCACAAACGACCACACGGAAGCTTTATCGAGGGATCTGCGCAGCCCACAGCAGGACGTCAGTCGGAATGACAGTGGGAACGCTGAGCAGAGCACCGCATGGGCACTGGCTGGCTGACTGGACTGCGGCCACGAGCACGGGCTGTCCACACGCAACAGCGAGCCAGGTCCTGCCTGGGCCGTGCGAGCTGGGCAAGCTGGAGCCTGCTCCGAGCGTCTCACTCCAACTCAACATCAGGTACGAGAGGGCGTATCTCACAGGCTTGTGCGGGAATAAGCACCGTGATGCATTCCACCTGTACCTGGAATATACACAGTCAACCCTCATTGTTCAAAGATCCTACGTTTGCCTCCTCTCCAGAATTCACCTGGAACTCCAAGGTCAGTACTTGGTGCCTGACAGCACCTGTGGACGTGTGCAGAGGGGCAAAGCCGTGAGCCACCAGCACGCCGCTTCCCAGCCGAGGTCAAACGAGCAGCCCTGCTCTACTGGGCAGCGTGCTTCTCATGGTCTACTAGGTGCCACGGTTTTGCGCTTTTGTGCTTTCTGTTGGTGATTCCAGCATTTAAAATGGCCCCAAGCGCAGTGCTGTCTAGTGCTCCTAAGCACTGAGGGGCCTGACAGAGAACAGGGGTGTGTGAGGTGGGCGTTGGTCAGGCTGGCTGACAGTGCTACTGGCTGTGCAGTCTATGTTAACAAATCAACTAAGTATTACCTGAGGTGTCAGTAAGAGAAACACTCAGAAAACAAGGCTATGTACTGTGCTCCCTCACCCATCGGGAAGTGGACCCGGCAGGAATCGGACCTCCGAGCTCCCCTCACCCATCAGGAAGTGGACCTGGTAGGAATCGGACCTCCGAGCTCCCCTCACCCATCAGGAAGTGGGCTCGGCAGGAATCGGACCTCCGAGCTCCCCTCGCCCATCAGGAAGTGGACCCGGTAGGAATCGGACCTCCGAGCTCCCCTCGCCCATCGGGAAGTGGACCCGGCAGGAATCGGACCTCCGAGCTCCCCTCACCCATCGGGAAGTGGGCTCGGTAGGAATCGGACCTCCGAGCTCCCCTCGCCCATCGGGAAGTGGACCCGGTAGGAATCGGACCTCCGAGCTCCCCTCGCCCATCGGGAAGTGGACCCGGCAAGAATCGGACCTCCGAGCTCCCCTCGCCCATCAGGAAGTGGACCCGGTAGGAATCGGACCTCTGAGCTCCCCTCGCCCATCAGGAAGTGGACCCGGTAGGAATCGGACCTCCGAGCTCCCCTCGCCCATCAGGAAGTGGACCCGGCAGGAATCGGACCTCCGAGCTCCCCTCACCCATCAGGAAGTGGACCCGGTAGGAATCGGACCTCCGAGCTCCCCTCACCCATCGGGAAGTGGACCCGGCAGGAATCGGACCTCCGAGCTCCCCTCACCCATCAGGAAGTGGACCCGGTAGGAATCGGACTTCTGCAGCAGGCGTCGCAGCTTCGCCTGGGTCTCGGTCAGGTCTGCGTCCTTGCCGCCGGCCCCGGGCCTCCGCTGCAGCACCTCGTCCAGGTAGAGGATGGCCAAGTGCGTGTGGTACTCTTCCCTCTGCAGGAAACGGGGCCAAGCAGACATGGCTTTCGCAAGGGAGGAGCCTGGGGGGCACCCTGGTCAGCAGTGTTCCAGGACCTGGCCGAGGGGAGCTGGGCAGATTCTCAAAAACAATTAACTGAATACATTTGCTGGGTTGAAACCACAACACTGAGAAGGTGACTGACAAACCTCAGAGGGGAGCGGGCTGTCGGGGGGCGGGAAGACATCAACCAATGAACTTACATGAACATATGCACAACCCGTGGACTCAGACAGCCGCGCAGTGAAGGCAGGGAAGGGGGGTGTCAATGGGGAAAAAGGGAGGGACATTTGTAATACTTTCAACAATAAAGATAAGTTTAAATAAATAAAAAAAATAAAACAAGATCTATGGGGTAAGTATAAAAGGGTTACTTCTCATTTTGAGAAGTAAGGGTCACAGGATTGAAATATTCTCCAAAAAGTGCAACGTCTCTCATTTCCTTTAGGAAAAGTAACAAGGAAAGAATAGAGAAGAAAAACAGGAGCTGGGTGGACGTGTGAGACAGGTTAGAGAAGCTCCTCCCTCCTCCCATCTCTCACGACCTCCGGTTCCCCTGCAGACCATGAGCCAGCATAGACTGAGCAGCCGGGGACAGAAAACATTGCACAAGGACCGTCCACCAAGTTCAGCCCCAGGTTCCGTCTCTTGGCCCGTGCGGGGCCCTGCAGCCCGCACTCCTGGGTCTAGTTCGGCGGTGCTCACCTGCAGCTTCCTGTCCATCACCAGGTGTTCCAAGTATCTGACAAGGGCGCTTGGGTACTTCTTAAGGCAAATGAGAATATCGTCTGGATTAAAACTGTTCTGCTGCTCCTCCAAAGGTCTCTTGGTGAAAACTTGAACTCCAAGCTGAAAAGGCAGTGACTGAGTTATTATGCTTTGCAGAGCCCCTTCCTGCCTTTATCCTGAGCACTGCAGATTCATGCTGTGGGTAAAGTCACCGTTGGAAACATGGTGACACAGGAACCTGCACAGGTAGCTGACAGAGACCAAGAGCAGACAGCAAGGGAGCAGAGGCTGCTGGGCCTATGGAAATCCTCATAGCCTGGAGGATTTCCTTTTAAAAGGGCCAGAAGTTAAAGGATAAAACTTTTATTGGTAGCAGGTTTTGACAACCCACGAAGCAAAACTTTGTAATCTTAAGATCATCCCAAACAAGGACGAGGAAGAGAAAGAACAGACAAGTGCTGCACACCCAGGGGGCTCAGCTCCAGCACCAACAGCTGCTCTGTGCTTATCTCCCAGGCTGCCTCCTGGGCCTCTGCTGGGGCCCCCTGTGCAATCCTGGCTTCCAAGGGAAGTACATCTGCCTGCACCTGCCCTGGGCACCGTGTGCATGCTCTAACACACAAACGCACCCCACAAACCCCAACATCAGAGAAACAGCACAGCACAGCTCTGCCAACTGTAAGATCTTGGGGAAGTTTCTCCAGCTCTCTGAGCCTCAGTTTCCTCATCTGTAAATGCCCACCCTGTGGGGCTGCTGCCATGTTTGAGAGACGAGTATGTCAGGGACTGACACTGTCCGGGACAGAGCGTCCTGTGCCGGATGTGTGTGAGCACCTGCTGGCCCTGGGACAGCCCAAAGCCTGCACACACTCCATGGGGGGTGAGCACTGTCGGGCCAGTGGGCCTGCGTGTGCCCAGAGGCAGAGCAAAGATGGTGTGAAACGTGCACCAAGCACTGGGGCTGAGCCTCCAGGTACCACAGCACCATGGACAGCACAGTCCAATTCAGATGTCAGAGAGGGAGAAACTGCATTTGTGACCAAGGAACTGCATCAGAACACCAACTGGTCTCTCCAAAGGGAGCTGAGGAAACGCAGACATTCTTCACTGAGAGAACTGACATGCTCTCTCTTTCCCAGTCGTCTCTGGGGCTTTGCTAAGGATCTGACCCTCTGTCCTAAGCACGCTGTTCCCTTTAGAATCAACAGCCCACAGAGGTTTTCTCAGTGATGTCCTTTCTCAGCCTCCCTCCTCCAGACCCATGACTTCCCCAGCACAGGCGATAGAAGCCAACGGGGCAGCAGTGTGCCTGGGGTGGCCCAGGCCTGGCACCCAGCCCTGCAGAGCAACCACCAGCTCCTGCTCCAGTCCACAGAAAACAAAGATAGCAGCCTTAGTTAGGGGTGGCGGCTCCCAAACCACCTTTTTCAAAAGATGCCGAGAATGAGGGCTAGTGAGGTTTCTTACTTTTCTATAAAGGCGGCCCATCCCAGGCAGGATGCTGAACACTGACTGCATCTCCAAAGCACTGAAATGAGGAGCTTGCCAGGAGCCGGGCTTCCACAGGCTCATGGGGACGAATTGAAGGGGGAACAAAGGAAGAAGACAGAGCACTGGAAGCGCAGCCTGCTCACCCACCTAAACCCACAGTTGTGTCTGTCTTACCCCCACCTCCGGTGCACTGACAAAGCACAAACCTCCTCACTCCTCTGCAAGGCCCAGTTGGCGTACTTCCACACCAGCGCCTGGTCCGAGCTGCAGGTGAGGAAGTCCACGACATACTCGTACAGGTCTGCGCGTGTGGCGTCGTGAAGATCCCCGTTCACGATGTTCACCCACAGCTGCGAAGCAGCAACAGGAAAAAGACATGAAAGCTTACACACCGTCTGCAATCAGCTGAGAAAGGGCGTATGTTTACTTCGCCTGTTAATACTTGAACGTAGCAACAAATTTTATTTTATTTATTTATTTTTTTTATCCTCACTCGAGGACATTTTTCCATTTTTTGTTCAGGTTAGAGTGGGAGGGAGAGAGAGGAACAGAGAGAGAGAGAGAAACATCGATGTAAAGGGACACATCGAGTGGCTGCCACCCACACGACTGACCAGGGCCGGGGACAAACTGCAACCGAGATACGTGCCCTTAGCGGGAACCGAACCCAGGTCTCTCCGGACTGCAGGCCGACGCTCTAACTGCTGAGCCAAACCAGCCAGGGCTAAATTTTAAATACTTAAATCAAATTTAAGTTTTTCCAGAGAAAGAGAGAAATGTGGAAGACGGTCCAGGAAACCGAGGAACAAAGCACCGGGCTGTGCCCCTCAGAGCTGTCGCAGGAGCACAGACCACAGTGGGCGCGAAGGTCCACCGCAAGGCTGTTGCCACTTTCTCCATCTCAGGAATTCTTCATTCTGAGGTCCTTTTCCAACTGTGGTAAAGACTACGCTTTCGAAAACTTTGATTCTGTCCCCTAGTGCCCTGACAGTCTTTGCACAAGGTCTCATTAGACAAGCAATCAAAAGCCTCTGCCATTTCATCCAGGGACGTCCCTGCTATGTACGCTGAAGCTTACTCCCAGAACCTGGGGCGAGGCCGTGTCCCGGGGCAGAGGAGACGGAGGCTGCGGAGAGCCGGGTCTCTGTATCACCCGCGGTACCTCAGCCGCCTCTCCACGGCGCTGCACCTCTGAGCCACGCCACCAGCAAGATGCCCAAGGAGTGGGCCAGGCAGCACCAGCTCCCTGATTCTGACGATCTGCAAGCCGACATTTTTATGGTGCTAGCTTCTGCATCACTGAATTGCCCAAACCAAATAATCTAATCACACACACACATTAAAATGTTTTAAAAACAGTGGAATTCTGTCATATACTAAGATGTATTTCATATTATTTCAATTTTGCAAATATCTCTATATAGACCTCTGCTAGTATTTTTACACTTACATCAAGCTGTAATTCTTAGAGTTATGTGATGTAAAAATTAAAAAATTTATCTTTGACACCCAAATCTACTCTTACCATCGCGTGCCTGCTGATGGGAGCCCACTTCTCTCTTTGTCTATTCTGCACTGATGTCACCACAACAGTCTAAGCAAACGCGAAGCTGACTCGAGCTGGGCAAGCAGCCCTGATGGTCCTGGCTGCTCACAAAGCAAACAGACGACAGCACATGCGGAAAGCCTGAGGCCAAGCAATCCTCGTGGACGCCAGCGAACGCAAGGGGCCAGTCTCCCCAGAGCATGAGATGAGGTCAGCCACAGGCTGCAGATGCCAGATGAGAGACAAGACTAAGCCTGGGAGCCACGCGACTCAGGCCCGCATCCCGGCCAGGCCACCTGCAGCTCCGGCTCTGAACCCAGCTCTGCCACTGGCCAGTGGCTTGAACCCGGCCTTGATCAGCTTTAGTTCTGTTACCGATAACATGGGGTAATAGTTTGCCCAGATCTCTGGCAACAGTTACTATCCTTAATAGTCATTAATATCATAAATCTATTAACATTAGGGAACTATAAAGCAAACTGTTATCCCCAGTTTTAATTTTCTGACAAACAGTGATGTTGTATGTCTGGTGCCTCAATAAGAAATCATATTTTTATTTCCTCGATTTTCAAAAAACTCAACCTTGATAATATTTTTTAAAGAGATGCAAGGAGCCCTGGACAGTTTTTCTCAGTGGTTAGAGCACCGGCCCGTGGACCAGAAAGTCTTGGGTTCAATTCTGGTCAAGGGCACGTACCTTGGTTGCGGCCCTGGTTAGGGTTGTGAAGGAGGCAGACAATCAATGTCTCTCTCTCTCCCTCTCTCCGTACCTCCCTCACACTCTGTCTGAAGATAAATGGAAAAATAACCTCGGGTAAGAATTTAAAAAATAAGAGATGTAATGAGAAAGAAAAAACTCCTGGCCAACATTTCTCGAAGAATTCTCTCTCTAAAAACATTTAATTTTGTTCTTTAAAAAACCTTATAGATTAGGCAAAAGCGTTCTCTGTCAATTTGTGATGTTTTTAAGCAACACTAAGGTGAGTGGTATCGGTTTTTAAACAATATTAACATGCTTCTGAACGAACCTGAACTGCAGCCGCATCCTGGCCGTTGTAATGGTAGAGCAGTCCAAGTGCAAAGTACCTGCAAGAGAACAACGTGGTCAGGCCCCTCCCCGCTTCTGTGGCGGCACCCACACAGTAATACCCGCTGGCCTCGGTGCCCCGAACCCTGTATTCTACACAACTCAGAGTTCAACAAGTTATAAGCAACAAAAAGATCCTCTTTTCTGCTTATTTACTTATGATATTAAAACATATGCCTTATCGCCCTGGCTGGGTGGCTCAGTTGGTTGGAGCATCGTCCTGTACACCAAAAGGTTGCAGGTTCAATTCCCGGTAGGCCGCATACCCAGGTTGAGGGTTCCATCCCCAGTGGACCGCATGCTGGGGGCGGGGGGGGGCAGCCAGCCGATCAATGTTTCTCTCTCACATCGATGTTTCTTCTCTTCTCTCTCTCTCTTCCTTCCTCTCTCTCTAAACATACTTTAGGTAAGAATTAAAAAATAAAGTATGCCATATTAATTTCCAAAGAAAATCACATTTAAGTCTAAGATAAGCTGACAAATAAAACTATAACTTTACTAAGGAAAATCACATTTGAAGTTGCTTTACAATTTGCTTCAAATAGGACTATAATTCCATATCTCTTCAGTTAGCCTTTTTAACCCATATTAAACACGATTTGGAAGGTATGCTTCCTGAAAGAAGGGGTAGGAGTCAGCACATGAGCAACTAACAGGGTCCCCGCATCAGAGACAGGACAGCAGGAACGCCCTGGGGGAGGCCGCCCAGAGTTCAAGGACACGAGTTTCTATACAGGCTTCATTCCTTGTAGATGACCTTCCCAGCCCTCCATGTCCTCGTGTGTAATCAGAAAGGGTTAGCAATGACTTTGGCATTGCCTGGGCAGTAAGCCACGACCACCCTTCCAAGTTCAGCAGATGGTCCCACTCCTGGTCCCCTTCCTCCCCCGCAGGTGACTGGAGCAAGGGACCCAGGAGGTATCAGATTTCTTCCCTCAAAGAGAAAACTCCTGAAGTATCAAACTGTTTGCTGGAACCCTCCTCTTTCCATTGACCGTTCAGAGAGTCATGCTGAGTCTCCAGGCACTACCATCCCCGGTGACTACCGCGAGGTGTCAGCGTGTTTTCTGGCCCTAACCAAAAGGAGTCGCTCCACAGGCAGCCCAGACTCTGAAGGAGCTGCCGGAAGAGCCAGCAGGCTCTGTTGTGGCATCTGAACAGGATCAAGCAAAGTAATCACCATGGTCCCTGTGAGATTTCATCAGCACGTTTGACATTTCAAATACATAACAAAAAACACAGACAAAGAATCTTATTGCTAACTGGATTTTAGCAGTCACCTAACATTTTTAAAGAAAAACCTGAGGCCCAGAAGGTTCGACACTCAACCACCTGCCAGCACGAGGAAGCTGCCAGCTCTCATCCAGTCATCACTGTGGATCACCTGCCCTCGCGCACAAACAAGGGGGTGGCCACCTGCACACCTGTGCACATAACCTCTTATCAACAAGATCAAGAAGCCCCCCCCCCCCGTTATCTATTTATCCAGGTGTCTGTCTATCCATTCACAGTGGGTATCAGGGGCTAACATGCACTATCAATTACATCAGCACCTGGCGTCTCCCACAGCAAATCCTAGAGGGAGCACGGAGGCAACCCAAGGATCACTTCAGTTACCGACAAGGCCACGATTCGCCCCAAATGGTAGTGATCCACCCGCAGGGGCGCTGGGCTGTGACTACGATTTCAAGGCAGTCCCTTCAGCGATGTCTTGGCAACTCCAACCCCCAGGCTTCACGAGTGTCACAGGGTCTCCCCCAGCGGGCAAGGGCGAGGCGTGAAGCCCGGCTGCACGTGGACGAGAACACTCACTTTTTGTGCTTCTCCAGCCAGGCAGCGCTGTCCGTCAGGAGGCAGGCGTTCTCGGTGACCAGGAGGTCCAGCAGACTGTCGTGGTCGGCCTCCGCGTACAGCTTGAGCAGGGCCGTGTCCACCTCTTCTTTGTAGCCATTGGCTACCTCCGTGCTGCGGACTTCATTCAAGTAGCTCATGAGGAAGTGCTTGCACTTGGCCACCTTCTCCTGGTCCCCCTGGGTCAGCTGGTTCAGGTCTGCATACTCGTGGAGAGGAGGGTGAGACCGTGTGAATGAAGAGGAGGTGGGCAACAGGAAGGGGTAGAGAGAGATCAGCTCCCGGACGTCAAGCTGGCCGCTTCTGCAATTACAGTGTCAAACTAAATGAAGCAAAAAGAGAGAGCACACGTAGGCACACAAAACAGCGCTGAGGTGTGCGCGGGTGCACAGGACTGGGGAGCTGCACCTGGTCTGCACGCCAGCGAGACGGCCCTAACCTGCAAGTGTGGACCAGCACTGCTCAGCTCCCTCACTGCCTGACTGCAGAGAACCGAGGGACCACAGGGAAGACGCACGCACAGCACGCATCGAAGTGAAACCTCTGAACGTCTGAAGGCCGTCAGCTCAGCTCCCTGGACACCAGGCAAAGGAACGTGAGGAAACACCATGGCCTGTCAAGGCCCTGAAACCTGGGCTTCCCGGCACTGAACACACACAGGCTACCAAGGAGTCCATCAAGAAGGGACCTGCAGACCACCACCTAGTCTCCTCAAAGGCCTGCAGCGGAAGACGCAGGGCACTCTGGGTCGTTTCCCCGTGAGTCCCGGCAACATCTCAGAGCAGCTCCCGGGGCCAGCACAGCACCCTGACCTCGTGGGGCCCAAGAAGCCCCTCCAGCAACACCCCACCTCTACTGCACTGCTGCTCCCCCTCCCGTCACCTCCCTCCGGCCTGGGAGTCCTGTCCGCAGTGGGAACAGTCAGCAGCAGCACCAGCAGCAGCACTAGCACCAGCTGTGATCTCAGCCCGGGCCCAGGACCACAGCCTGTGGGAACCCTCTGGAGGAAAGAGCAGAGCTCTGCAGACACCCCAGGGGTTTGGAGGCCCAGTGATCGACCCGCCTGTACCGGCACCGCTCTGCCCCCTCCCCCCCGGCTTCCTGCGCAGGTCTCCTCCCCGCTGCCCTGCTCCTCACCCGCCCCCAGTGCTTCTGCACTGCCCACAACGGACACCAGTCTCTCAGCATGGCCTTCGAGACCCGGCAGGCTCCACACTGCCTGACCCCTCGCCCGCCGTCCCTCCGCCTCCCGCCCACGCCGGCACTCAGCCCCGCGCACTGCTCCGCCTCTCACACGCGCGCCCATCTCCAGGGTGTCGCTCTGTCTGAAGCCGTGCTTGCCAGGGAAGGCAGTGTGGCTGCCTGGGGGACATGTGGCGATGCTGAGATATTTTTGTCACGAGTGGAGGGTGCTGCTGGCACCTAGCAGGTAGAGGCCAGGGCTGCTGTGACAGCCTATGGTGCATCCCAAACTGTTGACAGTACCAGGCGAGAACCCTGGCGTGAAGTATGGTTCACCATTTGGGAAGCTCTGCGCATCATTTAAAGTGCAGGACACCTCGAGGTCAGCCCGCCCGCACCGCCCTGCCTGCCCACTGTTCAGCGGCACCTGTCCACGTGGCCTGCACGCAGCTGCCAGAGCAGGGTGCTGTCCTCCCGCGCCCAGCTCTCACGCTGGGCCCGCCTGGGCACCAACAGGCCGCACACGTGTCCACAGACAGAAGATGACAGGTGCTGCCCTGGCGCCAGCCGTGATGAGTCAGCCCACACTGAGGAGGACTCAGGGCAGGTCCCAGATCGATGAGAAAAACAAGCATGAGCACTGGCAGGTCTGCCGCGGGCACAGGAGGCAGGTGGACCACACTGGCCTCGGGAGCGTCTTCCTCAAACCTCCATTTCTCAGTCACTGACGGAAGCTGAGCAGCAGCTGACATAAAAGGTCAGCTACAGAGAGGCCGAAGAACAAAGTATAGGAACTGACAAAGTCTTAACAACCGACATGGCCTGCATTTACTCTCACAAACTCAGTGAGCTGCTCCAGCAATGCTTGGTGACACCATTCACCTTGTACTTTGAATTAACTCAGGAGAAGGTGAGGTCTGGAGAGGCAGCCAGTGAGGAGGTCTGCAGTCCGCAGGGACAGGGCAACACAGGACAGAAAAGACGCTTGGCCTCAGGGACAACGTGTCCAGTGAGACCCCAAGCTCCTATCTTCCAGGAGCAGATGTTAACAGCACAGAATTTCCGTAAGCAAACGGTACAGAGGGCACCATGACTCATGCGTAATTCCTTCTGGACCCAGACTCTCTTCTACAACCAATGTGGAGGCAGAGCAAGGGAGCAGGGCCTGGTGGGTGTCTGCAGTATGGGCACACTGCAAACACCCTCCGGAACGGTGCTGACAGCAGCTGCGGGTGGCGCTCTGCTACGGCAGGGACCGAGCTTCCAGTGGGACTTTGGAGGCTGCGTATACAGCTGATCTCCTAGGTGGCTCCAAACTGCACAGAATCTAGTCTAGTTACACATTTTGGAAACATGCTCACAGGCAGGGCTTGAGTGGGGTATTTAGACAACGGCAGCAGGTTTAACCTAATCTCCCACAAAGCGCGCTGAGCACAGCGTGAGAGGAAGGGCAGCTGGGAGGACAGGTGAGACGGGAGTGGGCCAGAGGAGGGGCAAGACCGCCAGTGGGCCCGGGGCTGTTCATGATGCCTGGGAACCTCCACAGGAGAAACTCAACTTCCAGAGAGAGCCACCTACAAGCAGGCCATTTACACAGTCTTTAGAAGAAGAATCATTTTCCTAAGTCCTCCCAAAAGTACCTGCTCTTTTTCTAAACTCACAGCTTATGAAATCTGGAGAAAAGGAAAAGTGAATAGGATTTTCCTAAAACCCCACCATGTTATCAAATGCACTCTTTAGAACTCCCCTCTCCTCTCCACACAGGACTGTCATGGATGCCCCGCATCAGCCCCACCCTCCTTAAAATACAAGACAGTTCAACTAAGGCCAAGGGGGCGGGGAGTCAGGGGGATGGGCACCGGTGGCCTCACCAGTCCCTGCCGGGCACAGCACAACCTCGGCGGCACCTCCACAGCATCCCAGCTGGGATGCAGGCCGAGCCAGAGGGACAGGGAAGTCGGCCACCAGCACCTCAAATTACCTGAAGAGCTCTTTGGCTTCCAGGAACTGAAGTTGTGCAAAGTGTATAAACCCCGCCTGCTGCAGAACCCTTCTGTACATCACCTGTAAAGAAAGACAGGTGTCAGCGTCCAAGTTTAGATGTGAGCACCATCCAGAGCACATGACACAAATCAAGAAAACGTTTTTACACAAACCTCTGTCTCCTCAGTGCCTCTTTCTTTATAGCATCCTAGACGTTAATATAATTTAAGTCAGGCCTTCTTAATGGTCTACATTCTCTGTAGATCTCTTTGGATCTCTCGAAGAAATATTCCTTTAATCCCAGTCCCACAGTTAAACTTCTGATAAATCCCTCCCTTGTTCAGAACTCAGTGAAACAAAACCAATACTTGCTTTAAATGAAGAGAACAGGGCAAAATGGTGAAATGTCAATCTATGGAACGCGTGGAGCTGAGGAGTAAGCGGGTGTGTATTAAATGTCAACATGTGTAACCGTAGGAGCACACAGGAGGTACCTGATCTGCCTGGATGACCGGGAAGGATTCAGAGAACAGGCGAGGTATCGAGATAGTGCTTCATCGAGGAGGGAAGTGGCTCCAGTGATAGTGAGGGGAGCGTGGGGAGGCGTGTGAGTGTGCACGCTGTCCACGTGGTGGGCAGGCCAGGTGCCAGGGCTCCGATTTTAGCACCATGTGTCCGGAAGCAAGCGACCATCATGTCTTTCTGTCTCTGCATACTGGTACTGGTTATGTTTTCATTGTTTAGAGGATTTAAACATGTTTTTTGTTGTTGTTGTTGTTCAGATGGAGTGGGAGGGAGAGAGAGGAAGAGAGAGAGAGAAACATCGACGTGAAAGGGACACATCGAGTGGTTGCCACCCGCACGACCCAACCAGGGCTGGGGACAAACTGCAACCGAGGTACATGCCCTTAGCGGGAACCGAACCTGGGTCTCTCCAGACCGCAGGCTGACGCTCTAACCGCTAAGCCAAACTGGCCAGGGCTAAACATGTTTTAAAATGCCTCTCAGAGCGCTTGCACATTGCAGGGCTCAGAAGTTGTAAGTTCCCATGTCCCCCTCCCTTTGAGGTGAGATGCAGGGTTCAAGCATGTTTCACAGGGGTGACAGAATGGAGCAGAAGAGAAGTGGGCTGGGCCGAACATGACGCTCCTTCAGGGCGTAGAGCTTACCGTAGGCAATGGGCCCCCACTGACGTATTTTATGCAAAGATGTGGTCTATATTTTAGAAATAGCATCCCAGTAGTGGCATGGAGGATGGAGTGACACACATGAGGCAGGCTGCCAAAATCATCCAGGGAAACAGAAGGGTCTGCGCACCAGCTGTAGCAATGGGCACTGAGAATAAGGGCCGAATCTGAGGTCATTCTGTGGCTGTGTTTCCAGGGCTGGGCATATGTATTTGGAGCAACGGGGAGAAGGCAGAGAGCATATTAGAAAGGAAAAACGCCAACTGAGATTTCAGGTCAGAGAGCAAGACGACTAGTAATATTCTCTAATACTCACTGCATACGTCTACTCTTGGCAAAAAGAGAGGAGAAAAAGCAAAAAACAGACAAAGAACATTGAAAGGTTCTTTAAGAAAATGTTACAGACTTAAAGGGTGCATGTGTGTGAGTGCAAGGAGGGGGACCACAACATGTGGCCTGTCTAGCCATCTGCCATGTCTAGACGGCAGCGCACGGGCCCGACTCTGCAGGAGAGAGGGCTGAGAGCAAGCCTGGCAGGGCGGCCTCAGACCCTGGGTGCGCTGGCTGCACCCCTCAGCAGGCCACCCCACACTAGCTGGAGGTGTAAGGAAAGCACAGAGAGGTCTATGCTCCCACACAGCAGGCCCTGAGCAGCTGTCTCCTTTATGCTTTTGCTGCCCCCTGCTGAGTGCCAATAGATAGGTCTTACTTTAAAAAACCAGGAAGAGGTTTATCAATATTTAATATAGAAGACACCCTCTTTCACACCCCATGATCATGAAGTATACATCCTGTCTCTCACTTTCAGAATCCACCTTTTTCATTCCACATAAAGCAACTGAGGCCAAAAAGCATGATTTCATTCCACAACAATCACAATGTCATGTGCAAATCTGATCCATCTGTAATAATCGAGGGATTATTCTTAATTCACGAGAACTTTAATGATCGACATTCACACGAATGTACACACACCCAAATCACACACTCTCTCTCTCTCAATGACACAGAGTAACCTGAACTAACCTGACAGCTGATCAAGTAGCGATTTTTAGGGAACTTGATCTAATCAGACAAAAGACTAATCTGTGATTATTATATCCATGATATCTATTGTACCAAGTGCATTACTATTTCTTAAATGCACTAAAAATTTCACCTAAGGAAATTAATTTGATGGATTCCTGCAATAAAAGATGGTTATCAGTATGGCTAACAATGCTTTTCCTGTAGATAATATATATCTAAACTTTTACAATTCAATCCCATCCCAACAAATACAAATTCTAAATTAGGAAACAAATTAACCTGATGTTACTCTTTTGGCTTTTAAGAACTTTGCCCCCGATTCTTCTCTGAGAGTGTGCTGAAGGAAGAAGTTGATTAGAAGTACGATGTGGCACATTGAGCATGGAAGTCAGAGGCTCGCAACCCGACCTGGCCATTCAGCGGCCACGTCAGTCCAGCCAGCTGCTCTGCAACCTGTTTCTTCACCTGCACAAGGTGGATATGCTGAGAAAGTTCAGGAAGAGATATGCAAGCAGCTTGCAAGGTCTGGTGTGCAGGAAGGGCCTGCACATGGGTTAAATTTAATGCTTTCGTGACCAGCTAACTACACACCTGAAACTTTTCCTTTGGAATGTTCCTCCGGGCTCCTTTTGCTAAAACCAAGGCCTCCTCCACTCTGTGGCTGGATAGAAGATCCTGTATCTGTTTTTCCAGAGGTAATGGAACCAAGATGTAAACCCCTTTACTTGTGGCAACAATCACTCTTCCTGGGAAGAAAGCAACACAGTTGGAAAGAAGAAGACAACACATTGTTCCCCCCAAACGGGATCCTGGTCCGACTTATGGATCAATTTCATCAGCGCTGTCCCAACATAGAATTCCTACAAAAAATGTAAACTATAATTCCTCTCTTTTCTCCATCCCATACTTTCAAATGTCAGCAAAGTGCAAACTCTTAACATTACATGTCCAAAGTATAAAATATGCTTTTTTTGTGGTTTTTAATTTGAAAGTGCTGATAAATTTAAAACCAGCTGAGTAGACACCAATATCTAGTCCAACGAGGTTGTAGAGGTCAGTTATGAAAATTATCAATGAGAATTATGATGTACCTCATATAAAAGTTTAAACATTTTCTCTCCATGTTAGTTAGTTTACAGGAAACTAAGATTATAACACAAGTTTCTGAACCATGAGACAGTATTTCACCCTCATCTGCCATACACACACCTCCACATCTGGCAGCCCCTTACTCAGTTCCCCACAAGGCTGTGAGCTAGCCTTACCGGTGGTCAGCACTATCACCCTCATTTCACCTGGGGCCCTTGCACAGGCATCCACCCTACAGTCAGAACTATAATCCAAGACCAGCTCCCAATATGAAACTGTTTTTTTTTTAATCCTCACGCAAAAATATATTTATTGATATTTATAGAGAGAAGAAGAGAGAGGGGGCAGGGAGAGAGAGAAACATCAATCAGTGCCTCTCAGGTGCTCCAACCAGGGATCGAACCCACAACCTTTTGGTGTACGGATGACACTGCAATCAACTGAGCCACCCGGTCAGGGCCCAGTATGAAGCTTTTAAAGTGAGTTCTGCCCAACCAGTGTGGCTCAGTGCTGGAGCATTGACCCATGCACCGAAAGGTTGCTGGTTTGATTCCCAGTCAGGGCACATGCCCAGGTTGTGGGCCAAATCCCCAGTGCGGGGCATGCAGGAGGCAGCCAATCGATGTTCTCGCTCATCAATGTTTCTATCTCTCTCCCTCTCCTTTCGTCTCTAAAAAATCAATAAAGTAAAAAAAAATCAAGAAAAAAATGTATAGCCCTGGCCAGTTTGCCTCAGCGGTTAGAGCATTGGCCTGCGGTCCAGAGAGACCCAGGTTTGGTTCCTGCTAAGGGTGCATACCTCGGTTGCAGTTTGTCCCTGGCCCTGGTTGGTTGTGCGGGTGGCAGCCACTTGATGTGTCCCTTTCATGTCGATGTTTCGCTCTCTCTCTCTGTTCCTCTCTCTCCCTCCCACACAATCTGAACAAAAAAAATGGAAAAATGTCCTTGGGTAAGGATAATAAAAATAAAAAAAATGTATAGAGTGAGTTCTGCTCCCTTCTGGAGACACTTTTTAAGCAAACTATCCTCTGTACACAGGGACAGTGGCACGGTCTGCTCTGTCTGAAGGAGAGTTCAGAGTCAGCCAAGCCTCTGCTGCTCCCTCAGCTCCTCTCACCTGCGGCCGTTTCCACTCCGGCCCACTGCCTGGTTCGACCAGCCCTCGTCTCCCTCACCCGGATCGTCACCACCTCTCCTTCCTGGTCCTCCTGCTCTGCTCTTTTCTGGATTATCTGTCTTCTATGATCATAGCCAAAGCAATTTTTCTCATACTCAGGTGAGATTCTGCCCCTTCTCTGAGCTGATGTCCCTTTCCCCATGAAGCCCCCCTTGTTCCCACCTAGGGAACATCAGCCTCTCGGAGTCCGTGACCCCATCCCACCTCCAGCACCCAATGTACATAGCACCATAGCACCGTTGTGGAATGTGCTCTCTGAGGCACATGTCAGGGCCCCCAACTGGAAGCTGAGGGGCTTAATGTGGTGACTGAGTCTTAGTAAGTTCATATCCCTAGCCTCTCAGAAAGGAAGGGCAATGTTTGCTGAGCTAAGGCCCTCAAATGGCAAACATAATGCATACATCTAGATTACTTCCTGGCTTGAAGAAAAGGTCATAAGACATATTCTTAGGGCAACTGGGTAAATCTGAACACGGGCAGGACATTAGAGCTCATTTCAAAAGTGTGAAGGGCTTTGTGGCTACGTAGGAACATGCCCTGTTCTTAGCAAACACATGTTTGAGGTATCACAGATTAAGTGCTGCGTGGTCTTTCACTTCTTTCTGGCGTTCACAAGGGTTACATCTAGGTGGATGGTGTGCAGTGGTTCACTTCGTTTTTCTCTCAACTTTTCAGTATGTTTAAAAACATTCGAATAAAATCTAGAAGTAAAATAACTCTGTCCCCTGGCTTACCACTGACAGCAGCAGCAGTCTCTCCCTGACTGCCCTGGTCTCCCCATATGACCCCCACCTCCTCACATGCCTTGCAGCAGTCACAATGAGCTGCTGTGTGGCCTAAGTGCAGGGCTCGTGCCACAGCAGGTGTGCATGCACCGTGCTCTCTACCTAACGGTTCTTTCACACCGCCTCACTGACTCCTACTCACCTGTAAAGGTTTGGCTCAAATACCACATCCTTCAGGAAGCCCTCCCTGATATCTAGGAAATAGGTCCTCCTCTGCTCTCCCAATTGTCCTTATTTACTTCTATCAAGCTGTAGCTATTGTTCAAATGTCTCTCTCCCCATTAACTCCGGAGGCCCTGAAGTGCAGAGAGTGTGTTACCATCATCTGTGCATCTGCTCTGCTCAGCATCAAGCCTGGTTCCTAACGGGCCCTTAATAGCATGTACTGAGGAAGTGTTATAAATGAGTTTATAACTAAATTTTGTTAAGATTTCTATGTAAACTGTACCTTCAAAATCCTGTAGAATGTGGCCTTCTTTAAAGGGCAGGGTCTGCTTTTGCTGCTGATCCAACATGCTGTGAACTGTGATGAATTCGTCATCGAGCGCTAGGACATAGGGGAAGCAGATGGCCGCCCCAATCACATTCTCTGACCAGTGCACCGGAGCTCGCTGAGAAATCCCAGCAACTGTGGCAAACATGCCTAGAAAAATACGAGAAGTCAGGAAGGCCTTCGGATAACTAAGCTATTCTTTTTCCCTGTGTCTGGATGCAGAATATCCCCCACTTCATGTATGTCAAGGTGGGAAAAGTAACAATACGCTGCCTGTGTGAAGAACTCCACGTGACTTCCTTCTCCTGAGACCTAGCTTCCCCAGAGTGTGTCTTATATTTACTTACAACTAAAACGGAAGGTAAACCAATGTTTACATGTACCCATCTGAAAGTTTATAGCACACAGTCCTCACAGTGGGTAAAAGCTCCTGTAAAACAATTTTAAGCTTCACAAGCTTTCTAGTCCTCCAACCGGTTCTCATGGCTAAGTCACAGCCCTCCTGACACATTCATTCAACAAAGAATACCAAACAGGTTCATTCAAATATTTACTTGCTCCTACAATGGGCCAGGCCCTCCAGGTTCCTTTAGAGCTGAGGTCTAACTCTGGACACACACGCTACTATGACACAAAGAGAACCAGCTCTGGAGTTCAAGACAGAGTGCTAGGAGGTGGTTGTCAGTAATAACTTCCCCATTAAACTATTAAACGATAGTTTATCTGTCTGGTAGATAAAGCATTAAATGAGCCATTTCCAAATGAGTTCTTTCTAATGCACAGATTCCGGGATGTACCGAGCTTAGCACCTTCACCATGTGAAGTCAATCCAGTTTTACGTAGTTCTCAAAGTTGTGGACATTGAAACACCTTTAAGAACAGCTTGCTGCCGCTGCCCGCACACGACCAGATGCCGCTGCAGGAGACAAGCAGCTTCTACTGCACACAACTGAGAAGGGGGCGGGGACAGAGAAAGAAATACCAGAATGTTTTAAGATGGGAGCAACGTACTATATTTCAAATATATATATTTGAGCAAAATTCCTGAACCTGTGAAACTGCTGAGCCTCCTGACCTAGAGACAGGAAAGCGCTGCATGTCACCTAGCACCGAGCGCTTTCCCTCTGGCCTAGGCCGTCCAGAGAACAGGTGCCCTGAGGCATACTGGCGTCCGAGCCTTACGCTGACCAACGTATTCTGAGCCCTTCCCTGTGAACACTTTTGATGCTGGTTCTCAGCATGTGAGGGAGCATAAACTGAAACCGTCAGGACGACAGAACAAGAAGCTCTGTGAGAGTGTGCGCCCGCCTGTCTCCCACCAACGCCGCCACTGCCTAATGGGAACCCTTCTCTCACCTTACATATTTCCCTCTGACCCATAGCTTTCAAAAGTTTAAAAGGGGGTTTGCACCCTGGCCGGTTTGGCTCAGCGGTTAGAGCGTTGGCCTGTGGACCAGAGAGTCCCGGGTTCGGTTCCCACTAAGGGCACGTACTTCAGTTGCAATTTGTCCCCGGCCCTGGTTGGGGTTGTGGGTGCAACCAGTCGATGTTTCTCTCTCTCTCCCTCCTGCTCTACCTGAAGATAAATGCAAAAAAAAAAAAAAAAGTTCTCAGATGAGGATAAAAAAAAAATGGGTTTGCATTCATTATAGTGATTCATTTGAACTTAATTTCTGAAGCCATATCATGATGGCAGTGACTACTATGCTGTGTACACAACTTGTACGTGAGTAACGCATAAGAGAGCTCACAGTGCTGTGTACACAACTTGTACATGAGTAACGCATAAGAGAGCGCACAGTGATCTTCCAATTTGCTTACCATCATATCGTACCAATTACAAGCAAAACAACAATTAAGAAGGTTGGTTCATTCAGCATGATGTCTATGCAGTGGAGACAAAGTAAGCTTGAGGAAAAACGCACCCTGAATATGACTATCATTTCCCTTCGATCCCAATACGCAAACCATCAAAAAGATACTAGGATCAAATGCTTTCACTATAAAGTCTTTGTAACTGAAACAGGTGTTGGCTCGTGAACAGGCAGACTGATGAACAAAACGGGAAATCAGTGACCCAACCACACTCGGGAACCATGCACTCTGGAGGCAGCCACCGAAACCAGTGTGGAGACGTGGTGTCTGACCAGTGTGCTGGGACAATGAGCAGCATATGGAAAAGGAGAAGACGGATCCTCTCCTCATACTCTTCACTACAAGCCATGAAACCATAAAATTAGTAGCAGAAAGCACAGGTGCATTTGTCTATAACCTCAAAGAGGGAAACATCCCTAATTATGACTCAAAATCAAGAAGCAATAAAGTAAGAGGTTAACATATTTGATTATATAGAAATGTTTAAGAAAAGCTACTGCATGGTCAGACTGGAATCAAATATCTGAAACATACAACAGATAACAAGTTGGTATCTCAAATATATAAAAAATGGCTAGGGAGAAGAATAGATAATTAGATACTAAAATAAATGGCTAGGGAGAAGAATAGATAATTCCCATCAGAAGGGACATATGGCAATACCTAGCAAAATTCACACGCATTTACTCTCTGACTCAGCAACCCCACCTCTAGAATGCTTCCCCATAGACACTGACAAATACAAAAAGATAAGTCCCTGTAAGTACCGTACGACTAGAAAAAACCCAAATGCCCACCACGAGGGGCAGACAATAAACCGTGGGTGGGAGTGCCACATGACAGAGTAGCATGCATGGTCAAATTGGAAATGCAGAAGCAGACAAATGAGGAATATATATCATCCTACAGAGTGGGCTCCTAACACACTGTTAAATAAAAAGCCAAGAAAGAGGGAGATAAAAATATTTACATATTTGTTTATATTTTTATTTAAAAATTAAAGGATAGCCCTGCCCAGTTTGGCTCAACAGTTAGAGCGTTGGCCTGCAGACCAAAGGGTTGTGGAGTCAATTCTCAGTTGCAGGTGCGGGAGGCAACCAATTAATGCGTCTCTCTCACATCGATGTTTCTCTCGCTCTCTTTCTCTCCCTCCCTCCCTTCCTTGCTCTAAAATCAATTAAAAAAAAACAAAACACAAAACTTTTAAAGGTAAACTTCTAAGCTCTGTCTACTGACGAGGCTTAGAAACAATGGACAACAAGCTCCTCTAGCACCCGGACTATGGTCTCTAAACATCAGGCTCCTTGAAGAAATGGTGGAAAACAGAACTAGGCAGGAAATGTGCCAGGTGAACTTGAAATACCTTGCCATACCAGAAGGCAAGGAAGGTATCAAAGTTCTAGGGTCATGTGAAGGGCACTTAGTCATCAACTTGAATAAACTCCCACCAAGCACAAGTGGACTGAAATACACCATATACATTAAAATCCATGATTCATAATTATGATTTTAAAAGTCACTTCTGGAAGACGGGATCACCTTACTGAAAACCTCATCCTGCCCAAATAGTTAATGAGACATTTCTCTTCCTCAAGGAATTACAGTTTCACATATGAAGGAGGGACAGAAATAGAAGTTGCCACTTGGAAGACTCTAACGATTTAGAGTATTTAGACAGTGCTCACCAACAGCTATTAACATCACAGAGAGCAACAGGAAGAAATCATGTAGCCTGACAGAAGTGCTCCACCACCTGTGAATAAGTCTTGCCTCTCCCCAGAAACAAGCAAATCAAAACCCTTGAGTCTAATAAAACCTTTCAAGCTCCCAGTTAGCAGGAAACACAAAGGTCAGCCTTACATATTCAACAACATAAGGGGATAAAGTAATCAAAATTCAGAAATTAAAGGTGAACAAAAATTAAAGAAAAAGAGAAGGAGAGAGAACCTAAAGATAAGAGAAACTTAACAGATGTGTCAGATGATTGTAATGTCTGGGCCTGGTATGAACCTGAATTGAACTGGAACACAAGCATGTACACACTGACACATCAATGTACGTGCACATGTATTTATGCATGTCTCTTGACATTCATGATAACAGAAATATGACATGCCTCGATAGTCGATGGTATTTAAAAATTATTGTTTAATTGTTGTAGGTATGCGATGGTATTGTGGTTTTCTTTTTTAAAAGTAACTTGGAACTGTCCGGCTGGTATAGCTCAGTGGTAGAGCGTTGACCCATGCACCAAGAGGTTGCTGGTTCGATTCTCGGTCAGGGCACATGCCCAGGTTGTGGGCCCTATCCCCAGTGTGGGGTGTGCAAGAGGCGGCCAGTTGATGTTCTCTCTCATTGATGTTTGCATCTCTCTCTAAAATCAATAAAGAAAAAATAAATAAATAAATAAATAACTTGGAACTACATACAAAAATGTTTATAGGTAAAATGTTATGATGTCTGCTACTGGCTTCAAATAGGCCAGCAGGGGGAGTGGTTAGGTGTACAAATCAAATCACTGGCAAAGACCTGGTAGAGGCTGAAGCTGAGTGAAGGCTGTATTGGGGACATTACACGAGTCTCTTCTACTACGTTTTCCATTATAAAAATTTTTCATTAAAATTGGAATTTTTTTAAAAAAGGTATGGTTGGGTAAAAATCTTTTCCCAAAAAGTAAAATGCTGAGCTATCAAGCCATGAAAAGACATGGAGGAAATTAAATGCGTATCACTAAGTGAAGGCCATGTGAAAAGCTCCACACTGGGGTTTTAGCTGGAAGGTACCAGAGAGAGTAGTGCTGGCCAGGGGCTGAGAGGGTCGGGCTGAACAGGAAGGATTTTTAAGGCAGTGAAAATACTCTGTATAATAAAGGATACATGTCACCATTCATTTGTCCAAACCCATAGAATGTACAAGACCAAGAGGGTATCCTAATATAAACTATGGACTTTGGGTGATTATAATAATTTAATGTAGATTCATCTATTGTAACAAATGTACCACTTTGTCCAGAGATACTGATAGTAGGGGAAGGGGAAGGGCAGAGGGTATATGGGAATTCTACACTTTCTGCTCAATTTTGCTATGAACCTAAGCTGCTCTAAAAAATAAAATCAATTTTTAAAAAGTAAAATCAAGAAGTACACTAACTAGTTTATGACCTCAATGTTTGCAATTACCAAAAAATGTCTGTACCCATCACTTTGAAAAGAGAAGCCTGCACACAACCTCTCTGTAGTGAAAGGACTCCCATGTTCAGGTGCACTCATTCTGCACATCACAGAGCACCTGAGCACCAGACATGCACACGCACCATGAGGTGAGCACCACAGACACGCACATCACACAGCACCCGAGCACCACAGACACGCACACGCACCCTGAGGTGAGCACCACAGACACGCACACACACCCTGAGGTGAGCACCACAGACACGCACACACACCCTGAGGTGAGCACCACAGACACGCACACACACCCTGAGGTGAGCATCCATGACCGAAAGAAAACATCACAAGTTGCCAGTGCAGTTAGTAGCTCAGATTCTTAACTTCAATAAGGCAGGACGGAGAATGAGGAAGACCATGAAAAGTCATAAAAGCCCTTTCAAGGAGCTGACTACTGGACCCTTTTGCTGGGATGAAATTTCAGACAATTAAGAGAAAATTATGAACATAACACAGGTCTCCACATCTGAAAAGATCTATCAGTGAGCTACCTCGAATCCTTTTGAGGATGAAGAGCAAAAACAGTCAACTGACACAACCACCCACTAGAGAAAATTGTATCGGGAAGTCTTACCGATTTCTATTTTTGTAGTTATTGACTTAAAGGAATTGTCTCCCCAGAGCCATCTTATGGTTCCATGTCCCCACAAAATAAAACCAAAGAGCAAAACAAACCAACAAACAAAAGAGATACAGACTCACAGATACAGAGAGATACTGAGTGTTGCCAGATGGGAGGGAACTAGGGGACTGGATAAAAAAGGTGAAGGGATTAATATGTGCACCCCTTCATAGCAGCACTATTTACAATAAGTAAGATCTGGAAACAGCCCAAGTGCCCATCAGCAGATGAGTGAATAAAAAAGCTGTGGTAAATGTACACAATGGAGTACTATGCAGCTGTAAGAAAGCTCTCTTACCCTCTGAAATGACATGGAGAGATCTGGAGAGTATTATGCTGAGCAAAATAACTCTGAAGTCAGAGAAAGACCAGTATCACATGATCTCACTTATATGTGGAATCTAATAAACAAAACAGATCCAGAGACATGGAAGCAGGAAACAGACTGACAACCCTCAGAGGGAAGGGAGAAGAGAGAAACCAAAGCACGTATATACATATATGCACAACCCACAGACATAGACCACAGTGCAGTGATGGCCTGGGAGGGGTGGGAGCAGGAGGAGGGGTCAATGGGGGAAAAGGGGGATACCTGTAATACTTTCAACAATAAAGATAAATAAATTAAAAAATGAAGTATAGACTGGTAGTACAGAACAGTCACAGGGATATCAAGTACAGCACAGGGAATACAGTCAATGACATTGTAACAACTGTGTGAGGCCAGGTGGGTAGTGGAAATATCAGGGAACCACTCTGTAAAGTACAGGATTGTCTAACCACTATGCTGCACACCGAAACTAACACAAAATAATATTGAATGTAAACTATAATTAAAAATTAAAAAGAAAAAAAAAAACCTGGCTTTGCAACTAGTCCGACTTTAGCATGAAGTCAGGGAGCTAAGCAGAGAGAGTGGCCGCTGGGAGGTGAAGCGACTGTGAGGAGCCGCGACAGCAGCGAGCTCACCCAGTCCCCCGGGGCCCGCCAGGAGGAATTCCTGCCTCCCTATCCTCTTGACGATGGGGTGCTTCTCCTCGCCGCAGTACGGAAACAGGTCCTGGGCGACGCCCGTGTGGTAGTTCAGGATGATGTACTGGGTGGTCAGAGCCAGGCACAGGAAGTAGCCGTCCACAGCCACCGCCAGGGGCTGCTCCGGCGTGGACACTTCCCTGACGATTTGAACTCGGTCCTCGTACACCATGAACACCTGAACGGTTCTGCGCTTCACAGAGATGATGCAGACCTCCACACAGAACGGGTCCCCGCTGACCGGGTTCTCGTTCAAGGCCAGGGCCACGGCCCCTTTGATGCGGGCCCCGGAGGGCACAGGCTCCAGGCTCCGCATGTGCACCAGAGTGATGGAGCAGTCACAGAGCACCAGCAGTCGGTGCAGGGCCGACGCCGCGCGCAGCTCGGTCACCGGCTTCCTGAAGCCCAGGTGCCTGTGCCGCTGCCTGGTGGCCGTGAAGGCGGCCGTCCCGGCAGGCAGGGGCTGCTCCTCCAGCAGGAAGTGGTGGATGGAGCCGTCGCTGGTGCCCACGTACAGGTTCTTGCCGCAGCACTCCACGCACTCTATGTTGACACGCTCTTTGTCGCCCATCAGTAGCTCCGGCTCCACGGCAGAGACCAACGTGAAGGCCTTGGTGCTCATGGTGCCTGCAGCTGGTCTGCAGGAAGGGAAAAGCAAAAGGTAATTTAGCATGACAAGGAATAAGCAGAACCATTTCAGGTCACGGTAAACGTACACGGATTCCTGGTTACAGTTTCAGGGAAAGGAAATCACTCGACACTTAAAAAGTAGTCAAGGAAAACAAGCTTTCCCACTCGCGCCCCGCCCCCCAGGCCAGCAGGAGCCCATCGGCTGGTCCCTGAGAGCTGCGGTCCCGCGGGCGCCCTGCACCGCATGGGAGGCTCCCCGCAGGCACCAGGCAAGCACATGTACTCATTTACAGGCTACGAGGCAGAAACTGAGGGAAAAGACAAAACGGCCCTCGCCGACCTTGCCCTGAGCTTCTGTGTGAGTGAATGGTGGGGCACGCGACATGATGTTGTTAAACCCTCTCTCAACTCTCCTCGGAAACCCGGAGGAACCACACCTGGACTCCTGCGGACTCTTCCCCTCAGGCTGCTCGGCAGCCCTAGCAGCAGCCTGGCTCCCACAGTGCGCTCATTACGCAGTGAGGCTGTGCCTCGCCCGGGCCGTGTGCTGGGCGGTAGCGCACCCACGCACAGCGGCGCAGGTTTGATTTCTGGTCAAGGGCATGTACTTGGGGTGCAGGTCTGATCCCGGCCCCAGTCAGGGCGTGTGGGAGGCAACCAGTCAACATGTCCCTCTCATGTCCACCTCTCTCTCCCCTCTCCCCACTTCTTCCACTCTCTCCAGAAGTCAATAGAAAAAATATTCTCAGGCGAGGATTAACAAAAAATATATATATTATATATGTATATGCCTCAAATCGCCACATCTTTCAGGTGGATTTCTGAGGTCCCTGGCATGGCAGTTAATGATTACTCCCGCCAGAAGGCAGGTTGCCCCCCACTCTAACCCCGGCTTCACATGTCTCCCTCTGAAGGGGCTCTTGTTTCGCACAAAGACAGCGGCAGCAGGGAAGCAGGATGGCCTTTCCCTGGTTTCTCGCTGGGGAGAGCACACGCCCGGCCTGCAAGCAGCAGAGGGACAGCCTGTGGCTCTGAGAGAACAACAGAGGATGATGGGAGTGGGGGGCGGGGCTCTGAGAGAACCGCAGAGAATGATGGGAGTGGGTGGGGGGCTCTGAGAGAACCGCAGAGAATGATGGGGGGGGGTCTGAGAGAACCGCAGAGAATGATGGGAGTGGGTGGGGGGCTCTGAGAGAACCACAGAGAATGATGGGAGTGAGGGGGGGGCTCTGAGAGAACCGCAGAGAATGATGGGAGTGAGGGGGGCTCTGAGAGAACCACAGAGAATGATGGGAGTGAGGGGGGGGGCTCTGAGAGAACCGCAGAGAATGATGGGAGTGAGGGGGGCTCTGAGAGAACCGCAGAGAATGACAGGTGAGAGGGGGCCTCCGGGAGAGCGCCGCGAATGACTGGAGAGGGGGCTCTGAGAACTGCAGAGAATGATGGGAGTGAGAGGGGGGCTCTGAGAGAACCACAAACAATGATGGGAGTGAGAGGGGGGCTCTGAGACCTGCAGAGAATGATGGGAGTGAGAGGGGGGGCTCTGAGAGAACCGCAGAGAATGATGGGAGTGAGAGGGGGCCTCCAGGAGAGCCGCTGAGAATGATTGGAGAGGGGGGCTCTGAGAACTGCAGAGAATGATGGGAGTGAGAGGGGGGGCTCTGAGAGAACCACAGAGAATGATGGGAGTGAGAGGGGGCCTCCGGGAGAGCCACAGAGAATGATGGGAGTGAGGGGGGGGCTCTGAGAACTGCAGAGAATGATGGGAGTGAGGCGGGGGCTCCGGGAGAGCCACAGAGAATGATTGGAGAGGGGTGCTCTGAGAACTGCAGAGAATGATGGGAGTGAGGCGGGGGCTCCGGGAGAGCCACAGAGAATGATTGGAGAGGGGGGCTCTGAGAACTGCAGAGAATGATGGGAGTGAGGCGGGGGCTCCGGGAGAGCCACAGAGAATGATTGGAGAGGGGGGCTCTGAGAACTGCAGAGAATGATGGGAGTGGGAGTGAAGCTCTGAGAACTTCTCTACCACGCAAACTGTTGAAAACAGGGTTGCTCATAAGATACTAAATTCTGCAATCTTCTGAGGTATCCTAGCAAAGGCTGGAAGAGTCTTGGAAATGTTTAAGAAAGATTTACGGATCAGGGAAAAGCAGGAATCAACTCGAAGATTTTAGAATTCCAGTTTCTTACAGCCCGTCCACTGTGGTGGTGACAGCTGCACACGAGTGAGACTCCGGTTCCCTCCCGTCAGCAAGAGGATCCCAGGAAGGAGGCAGCCCAGGCTGGAATGAGGTTTTCCCTTGAAAGGAACTGGACACCAGCTGTTCCTTTCTATCCCTTCCTGTCACTTAGTAGCTACATGACCTTGGGAAGCAAACTTGGCTTCTACCTGCCTCAGTTTCCTTACCTGTGAAATGAGAGTAATGATGGCGCCCACTTCATATCCTTTCAGGATCATGTAAGTGCTCCATAAAGTTAGCTGTTGACCTCATCACCCCTGCCTCTCTCTCTCAAGCCCCAGTTCACTCTATTTTTATTTTCCAAGCTGGGCACCAAGCGCTGGAATGACGCTGTCTTCTGCCCTGAACTGTGGGCGATCTGCGTCCACCCCTCTGACAGGCTGAAATGTAAGCCGGACACACATACACACGCTCGCTCTCCCTCTCTCACACACACACCTGTATTTTCATTTACACACGCTCACCTTCATGGCACTATGGAAAAGAGGCGGGAAAGTGAGCAGTGAGGCTCAGAAGGCTTCAAAGAGAAGGAATCATGTCCATCAAACTCCCCAGGGTCCCCGGGAAAGCCTAGGGTTGGAGGAAGAGTAGGCTTTTAATCTGACCATTTTTAGACATTACCATCTACTTGTCATGACCAGACAGAATCACCAAAATCCACCCTAGACACTATGTTTTCCATTCAAGTTCTAATGACACAGACATTGAGACGAAGGCTATGACACGTCCTAAGTCTGTGAAAGCGAAGTAATACGAACCAGCCCTTCCTTGCCTGATGGCTGGATGCAGGCTGTCTTTAAAGTGGCTCCACGTGTGAGACATGAATTGTGTCGCTCACTTTACAGAAGGAGCAGAGAAACAAGCTTCGGGCACTCATCATCAAACTTTTCTCTGTGACTGTTTTAAAGCATACTGTCCATAATTGTAGCCTCTTTTTTTTTTAATCTTCACCCGAGGACATTTTTCCATTTTTTGTTCAGGTAGAGTGGGAGAGAGAAAGAGGAACAGAGAGAGAGAAACATCGACGTGAAAGGGACACATCGAGTGGCTGCCACCCACACGACCAACCAGGGCCGGGGACAAACTGCAACCGAGGTACGCGCCCTTAGCGGGAACCAAACCCAGGTCTCTCTGGACCGCAGGCTGACGCTCTAACCACTGAGCAAAACCGGCCAGGGCTTAGCCTCTATCTTTACTTACCTTAAGGAATAAACGAAAGATGTTTGCAGTAAAGAATACAGCTTGACCCCTGAACAACATGGAAGTTTGGGGTGCCCATCCCCCATGCAGCTGAACATCCATGTAGAAATTAAACTGCCCTCTGCACCCGTGGATCTCCAACCGCCAGTTCACCCTCTGAACTGCAGGGTCCAGTGAACTGAGCGGGTCGACTGAGAAAGAAACTTGCGCATAAGTGGATCTGCACAATCCAACCCCACGGTGCTCAGAGGTCAGCTCTATATGGGAAGAATCAAACACCTCGTATTTAGTCTAAATACAGGGGTAAACAGAGAAGGAAAGAGGGAGAGAGTTGTAATTAAAGCTTTGGTTTGTTAAAAAGTCATAATTCTATAAAATTTAAGAAGACATGTAATATTATTTCATGACTTGGTAGTCAGTTACTCAAGTCTTGCTAAAAATAAGTTTCTTACTATGGGCTTTTACATAATGGACCTGCTTTAATAATTAAATGGTAATTTATAAGAAGCAGAGAATGATGTCAGCATCATAGTCAGTAAGACATTCCTTTTTACCCCCCTTTATCCACAGACAAAAGCACCCTATGGGTGTTGTGGGATCTAACACTGTACACCAAGGGACCCAGGTGGAGGCTTACCCACCTACACATCCAGTAACAGGCAGACAGAACTCGGTTCTGCTGCGGAACCGTGGAACCAGCAAACCTGCCCAGATCCCTCTCACCTCAGCTGGGATAAAACCCTAGAGAATGCTGACCTGAGCAGACATAGAGACGAGAGAGAATTTGCAGAAGTCTCGACTTCCCACAGGGAGATTCCAACATGCCACTGGAGCAAAAGAAAACCCAAAAACAAAGTACGAGTGTGGTCACAGCAGGGGCAGTGGTAAGAGAAACCTCCAGCACTGCACCACCCAAGGGAACACTGCACAGCAGCTGATCTGTCTGGCAGTGGCAGTCTCTCCCAAGGAGGACAAGGACAGTGGTGATTGAATGCCCGGCTGCCACATCTGTGTGGGAAGAGGCTGGAGAAGCCCATGTCTCTCCAGAAAAACCCACAGTACTGAGGCATAGACCTCCATGACTGGGAGGAATGACTGGGGAAGAGGCCGATGAGAATTTCAAAGGGAATTAAAGGAAGCATATGCAGCAGGAAGTCCACCCTCAAGCCTCATAACCAGGGATCTACCTACTGGGTCTGCAGGCACCCCAGCGCCTGAGTACTACACCCACACCTCCCCTCCCTCTGTGCCAGTTCCTTGTGTGTGCTTCCATGTGCAGCATGAGAGAGAATTCTGGTAGACAGGGAGCCCACTCAGAAAATGGGCATGGAAGAAACACAAACTTGGGCTTTAAGTACCACCTTCTGGAAAATGAGAGGTTTCCAGCAAATTGTAAGACCCAGAGAAGACATAAAAGCTTAAGAGTTTGGCCACAAGAGGGAGCAAGAAGAATGGACAGAGCAGATGTACCCACAGAGAGGGAGAAAACCCAGATGATATAACACCACCAAATAGAATACGCCATCCAAGCCATCTAGCAAAGATTCAGGAGGTGTCTGCTACTTCAA